CTACTCTGTTCTGTTGTAAAAATGCCATTACATGTACAAAATAGGTGGCTGATCGGCCTTGAAAAATGGTCTACCGTACAGAATGATGACCGGCCGACCACTGCTTCTAGAGGATACCCTTACTGCCACAGAGCAAAAAAATAGTGTTTCCAGGAGATATTTATCCTATTTGCCCTTCCCTATCATGAAGATGATCAAGGGAGGAGTAGATTCGTTTCTCAAATCATTAATTGTCACAAATTTGTTGCGTGATGATCTTAGAAACAATAGGACAAGTGCTCAATAAATTAAACAAGAGATAGACAATACCTCCTCCCTATCATAGAGTTACCTCAAGGGAAGGAGTAGACATTTCTTCATGAATCATTAAACATCACTAAAACAGTATGCAATGATTCAAGACGCAATAGGTTCAGTATAACGTTCGATTGAACCTAACTCAATTTTATTACCTTTTTTTTTTTTTTACCTCTTTTTACTCCAATTTTATTAGCCCTTTTACATTAGCTTTCCATTTCTTATCTTTTCTCAATTTTTGTCCAAAGGTGATGATTACTTTCACTAAATCCAAAGTAATAAAGAATAGCAAGCATGACTTAACCCGAGAAATGAGCTTTTCAAGCACTTTTTTATGGGGGGAAATTACAAAGGAAGAATCAAACAAATTTACAAGCGATAATGAATGCTAAGTCAAACCCAAAATGAGCGATAATGACTAGTCAAACTCAAAGAAAGCGATAATGACTAGTTAGACCCAAAATAAGCGATAATGACTCCATTTCCAAACTTAATAATAAGCTATAATGACACTTTCCTTTATGATTTCCAAGGGTCTACCTAGAAAGTTAGTTCCTTAGAGGTAATGTACCGGTGATAAGGAGAAGTATCAAAAGAAAGATCACGCTTAGCATAAGAGAGATGTAATGCCCTAGTAATGAACCTACGAAGATATTAAACCATTTAGTATAAAGGGTCTCTTTCTTATGCCTTGAGCGGTATTCTTTTGTTTGATTCAACTCTTTAATCAAGAGAAACAAAGAATGGAGGGAGGTTACAGGGACAGAAGGATGATTATAATGGTGTGAATATGTATGAAAGCTATAAAAAAAAGTGAAAGAAAAGACTATCAACTCAAATGGATTGAAAGCTATATCCATGAGAACTTACAACAACATATCTACAATATTTAAAGCATAATTTAACACGCTAAAAAGCTTTGAAACAGCACAAAAACAATGCTGAAAATCAGGTTTTTGAGGTGATAAAAGCGAGCAAAAATAGGATAAAGCCAAGGGGTTTCAACCAACCAACAAGCCTAAGGAAGGGTGGCTAAAATCACATATTTCAGGCCTCAAAATACTCTGAAAACAATAAGTAAACACCAAGAAAAGAGAGAGAAAAGATGGTTAAAGAGTTGAAAGTTTACCCCTTTAAAGAGAGGAAGACCTTCCTAGTTAACAAGCCACAAGTTGAGCACTCTCAAGAGCTGAAATTGTGTTCAAGAATATCGGCAAAAAGCCTCAAGTTTTGGCTTAGGAGGTGTATGTATGGTGTATGTATATTGCAAGAGATGAGGGAAGAGTGTTTGACAAGTTATGGCTCTTGGCAAAATTTTCTAACCTCAAACTATGAGGGGAGGTCGTGTATTTATAGAAAAATGGATTCTCACGTCGAAAATATTTGTAATGAGACAGCTGGTGCAAGACATGGGCAGCATGGGGATAGCTGGCAGCTTGTCAAAATATCTGTTGCGCTAAACATGGCCGGCCGACCATGAACAAGGACGACCGGCAAAAAAAAATGACCTGCCAGCCACTTGTTGGCCAACTCTTCTCTAGGTGTTTAGGCTAGAAAAAAAATTAAGTTTTAATCCAAAAGGGTTGCAAGGTTTAGGTTCTGAAACTCAAAACCGAAGTCTTTTGCTGAAGAAATTGAACGATTTGCACAACGTAACATTTCATCATCAAGTGTTTAAAGTGAGGCGCCTAAGTTTTAAGGGCAGTCAAAATGGCGTGTCTACACACACCTAGTTACTTTTTCCAGATTCCAATGATAGTCCCTAATCGAAACACGTCAATGAGCTACGGATCGCACCAGTCCAATCATACGTTCTCATTGCTTCCAAATTATCCACATGCCGAATTAATGCCCAACTGATTGTTTCACCCAAATTTGAGAAAAAATAATTTCCCACAGGCACATAAGCACAACAGCTTCGTTGTGTCTTCAACATCTCGATCGATACTGCCAACAGTAGCCTTAACTAGCAAGTTCCGTGTTAGTTTTGACGTTATGCGACTGGTGTTACGACACCTCTGCTGAATGAAATCAGATGGTGGCTTAGGTCGTGGGGTCAAATCAAGAAAACTAGTACCACATTGAATCCCAAATATTAACCTTTTGTCCTCATCTGCAACGCTCACACTATGCCCTCCTATGTGGAATGTACCATCATGAGAATTGTAAGCCCGGATAATATTCACCACTAGGTCGTCCCCTTTTCAGAACTCATTGTGGTCAAGCTAATTGAAGAGAATAGCTTCGAACATAAGCCAGAAAGAAGGAAAATGATATGCTCGTCCTGCAATTGCAATGTGTATACTAACTTCACAATCCCTGCAATGTTGGACCTTAAATTCAGCCTTGTACGGTGACGCTTTGGAGTGACACTTGCACGATTCAGAATTTTGGACTGCTTGAATAGAATACGCCCTTGAATATTCACGCCAATTTTGTTTGGCGATGTCACGCCACCCGCTGCTTGCTGCTTACGCTCACACAAATGCGTCCACGGACTGTTAATCTTCGACACCCCTACATCACGACAAACAACAAACAATTGTAAACATAAGTCAGCTGGTAATAGATGTCCATACATTGCACTACAACAAAGCATCATGACCAACAATATAACCAACAATATATGTCGCATTCAATTTTCTTTACCAACGCACACGTACATGGTGAAATGAATCCGAAAGCGGTCGCACGTGACGTACATGACCGCACACGTACAACCTAGAACGATGCAATATACTAAATGCAATGTGTGGTGGCATAACATTCAACGACACCACGTGCTCCCACTAAAATAATAACATGAGCTATTCATCACAACACATTAATGTGTTCCACCCCCTCTGTACGTCTATGTTGTACATTACCAAACATTAATAATAAAATGAACATACCAACACTGGCCCACCAACGCAAACTTTACAAGAAAATGACGATGTATGAATAATGTACAAAGTTCACATGCCTATAAATGACAAATCAGCATAAAGATTCCACGCGTTGACACACATCGTAAACCACAAACAATGTAACATCATAACACTCAACACTGTTCACTATGCCATACATGACCCCTCCATTTTCCTAATAAAAATTAATTTAGTAAAAAAAAATTAAATGTCTAAAAGATTTATCAATTTTACATAATTTTATTTTTAGTGGGTAGAAATAATTTTTTAAAATTCAAAAATATTTTTTTGACATTTATTTTTGTTAAATTAGTTTATATTTTATCAAATCGATAATTTTGCCCTTGAAATTGAATAATAGTATCTTCAATTGTCCTTATTTGGAACAAGAGTCAAAATTCAGAGTCAAATATATCACAATTGAAAATTTATGAACCAAAATAATATAAGACCTAAACTATGGAGACCGTTAGTGTAATTCACCATTAATCTAATTATTAATAGTACATTAGACTTGTATGCATGATATTACATTACAAATACGCATTAGTTATGGAACTTATTGCCAATATCGTGTTGACAAAATTTAAAACTTGATATAATATAAAAATATGATAAATCTAACATTATTGTTGATAAAACAGTCTTGATTTTCTCTTAAAGGAAGAGTTATTGTAAAACTTCCACCCAAAAAGACAACAAAAAAATCAAAAAATAAAAAATTTGCCTGTAGTAAAATAAATAAATAAATCTTATTTGACCCGTTCCCCATTTCTAGTCTAAAGGCACTTGAAAGAAAATGAAATCAAATAAATAAATGACCCTTACTAATGTAGTTGAAAGCAATTAACTTGGGCCAAGCCATAGTTAGCTGCAACTGCAGCTTGCAATTCGTTCGCAACAATGCTACAAACCCATAAATATTAGAAAAATGGTTAAGAGCATTAAAAAAGAAGCATTAGGGGAAGCACTAATGATGTGACAGTGGACTTTTTTTTTTTTGTTGTTGTTGTTGCCATTTCCAATGCATTAGTGCTATTGGTGATATTTTTTTTAGTGGTATGAATCATTGTTGTAAATATTATCCAGAAACATCATTGTGTGGTTAAAATTCATCTAAGCCATGAACCACACAATACAATAAATCAATCTCAGCCATGCACTAGCGCTCTAAACAGTTTTCATGGCAACTTTTTTTGGGTCCATGGCTTTAGTGTTTCGTTAGCAATGTCTTTCAAAACAAAAGCGGATAGCCCAAGATAAATTTTCCAACATGGATTCAGTCTGGTGCTGTTAAAAAGCCAACTGTATTCTGTACTACTAGATAAGATAGAGCATAACTATAAACCTTACATTTTTGGGTGGATATTCTGGTTATTAGAACAAACTGAAGCTACCCAGTTCATTTTCCCAAAATCATGATGTGCTGCTTCTTTTCGCTCCAAGTAGATCATCGCTTTCACTTTTTACAACACACTGAAAGGATAATGAACAGATCCTATTTATGCCACCGGATTCTTCATCTTAGAAATTATGCCCTCATCAAGACGGTAATAGCCTCCCACTCTAATCTACATATCACATCCTGTTATGGCAACAATTGAAATCATCAGTCATTTTTAGCAATTCCACAGATATATGACATAGCACAGTAATTTATCCCCAAGAGCAAAATGTTGTACATCTCTGAGATAAAACTGAGTATAGGAGAAAGAGAGAAGAAAAAACACATCATCAAGGGGTTCTGTTGGTCAATGTCAAAGCTGTTGATAGCACATGGTTCAGCCAAGAGTTCAACGGGTTCCTCACCTGTGCAAAGGAACAGTGTGAAACAAATCAACCACCAGATAAGAGAGGTTACAGATTGTCTGAAGCAAGTATTCCTTTTGTAGAGGAGGCAAAAGGTTTGGATGGGTCAAAACGAATAATGCATTTAAAAAACCTGACCGTTTAATAAACGGGGTTTAGGCGAGTTGGGTTGAATTTGGCACAAAGGTATGGAAAATTAATCTGATCAACCCATTAACCCGACAAATTAACCAGATCGACCCAACAGGTATACAACTCATAAATAAACTTTGACGAGATTTCAAATGGTTGAAATTGGATGGATTTACAGGTTCTAGTTAAGTGTTCCAGCTCTATCTTTTTGCCACAGAAAACAAGAAATATGAATTCAGCTACTTAGCAAATAACATGACCTTAAGCCTTTCCACTAGAGCACTCAAATGGAAAAAGCCAAACATGGCAACAAATTTCATACCTTGTTCAACAACAGCAAGGATTTCATCTTCTGAGCAGATCATAACAGGTAACACCCGTGATGTTGACATGTTACCAAGTTTAAAGAATAGCTGTCATACTGGACCTCCCAAATTTCACTCTCAGATAATGAGTGGGACTGAAACTCACCTGCTGCAACCCCAGAAAGAACTATTGGCTGCTGTTGCCACCGAAGATCCCATGCAAATACAGTACCAGAAGAGCCTCCTGCCTTCATGTAAACCAGCATAATAAATAAACAATCACGAAAAATTTCTCAAATCAGAACACAAAGAGACAACTTATTCGGTTTCCAAATAACCATGTAATCCAATAATTAAACATGGAAGAATTTTAGTGTGATCACAAAATCCTTTGAATCATCACCCAGTATGAAATTTAAGCATGCAAACTTTTTTTTTTAACAGTAAAAAACGGGTTCCCCTTGGAGGCATCATCTTAAATGAATGTTCATAAGCATAATTCCTGTCCGGTATATTTAATATTAAAAGGAAAAAATAAATAAAAAAATAAAAAAGAAGCAATAGTTGAGAAATCAAAATTCATAGACATATGCCATAGAAACAATTTCAGTCAGAGTTGGTAGTATTTGCACCAATACATAAATCTCAATGATCACCAAGATGAACATCAACCAGTAACTAAACACAAGCAGAGCTATCTCAGCTACTTAATCAGTAGACAATTAGAGGTCTTAGTTATCTCAAAAAAAGCTAATCAGTTGACTCAAGGACAGAATATCAGCATGTATCTGCAGCAGCAGTACAACAACAAACTTCATTATAGTGTGGCAATCAAATAAACCATATAATTATATAGCTGCCCAAACCCCTTATAATACCACAATATGATACATTTTGATAAGATCTGTTTCTAACACAAACAACAGTAGGCTTTGGTTTATATTCCAAATCATCATCTTTATTATCTTTACCAAGTCATTACTGAACCTTTTAGCATCTAAGAAAAACTACAAACCAAGCATAAATATTATTAGCCACTGGATATTCCAAATATACTGTAATTTTGCGCACCCCTCCCCCTCCAAAAAAAAAAAATTAGGTGAAGAGAGAGAGAGAGAGAGAGAACAATGGGGACAGCTAAAATAAAACCCAATAGTTTGTATACGGCTGTCCTAATGCATCGGCATTTACTTTCGATGTTTTTAATTCTTACTTGATGGACACTACATGTAATAACCCGACCCTCGCACATGTTTTCTGATATATGTTTCGTCCTTAGTTTGTGCTTTTAAATGCTTGCTGTGAAAGCTGACGAGAAATTAAGATTACGTAAACGAACTCCATGTTTTAGGGTGTCTGTCTGTTTCACAAGAACATTATCTGTCACTATTAACACATTTGAATCAGAAATTGGAGGCCTTAACGGCTTAATTATCTGAAATTGATTATATATCTGTGATCAGCATAATTTTTAAGTAATATTAAGCATGTTTACGAAATTTCAATTTCGGAATGATTAAACGATTGGATTTCGTCCTATTCACCTTTATATCTATCTATGTATTTGTCTTCAAACACTTGATTTGGGGATTCATTTCGTGGCTATCTCCTGGAGATGGTACGAAAATAAGAGAAGAAAGAAGAAAATGGGAAAGCAACAAGGAGGTGAGTTGGGGCAAAATTAGAAGGGTTTGGAGAGAAATTGAAGCTCAAGGTATGGGTGATTTACTTTCATTAACTCCTCTCTTGTTAAGGGGTAAAGAATTTCTTGGATGTTCAAACAATTAAGGTTGTGTATGTGTGTGTATGGCACCCAAAGAATCGAAGAAGTGTTTCTTCATGTTGTTGATGTGTTGCTTTGAACCTTGTAAGGGAAATTATATTTTATTCCTCCTTGATATACTTGAACAACAAGATATGAACATGGCTATGTATGTAAAATTAAGTTTTGTTTATGGGTTATGAAGTAAAGATCTAGTTCATGTCCACATGGATTGTGATTATGTTCGTAAGTGATTTTTAAGCTTTATTCTTGTGTGAAATTCATCTAAGTGGAATCATTTCTATGTATTGGCCAAGGTAGATTTTATTTGAGCTTGAATTCCAGGATGGAAATTGAAAAAGTTGTGACTTGATTAAGCTTCTTATCATGTGTATTTTGTGTAGCTCAAGTTCCAATTCATGCTATGGCGATATTAGGTTAATATATTGCATGAATTTCATCTTGGTTTGCATGTAAATTGACTTGGTGATGTTGAAATTTGGTTTGGAACCGAGCTGCCCCAAAACAAGGGTCACCACCGCACATGCGGAGGTCATGGCCGCACGTGCGGCCAAAGAAGAAAAAACTAGGAAGGCACACTGTCTACGACCGCTCGAGCGAAGGGGGAGGACCGCACGTGCGGTGCATGGCCGCTCAAGCGGAGGGTCCGGCCACACGTGCGGCCCGGGCTGGAAAAGTGGTTCGCTTAGTTTTGCATTCTTGACTCTCTGGTATTTTTAGAATATTTTTCTGATGATTTTAAGATGGTTGTAAATTCATGCAAAGTGTAATGATGCAGGAAATGACCTAAGAAAGAAAAGGGAAATAATGTGCAAGTTTTGAATGTGTGCAGGACACACTCCGGGAGGAAGTAATATGTCATCTCAACACTGTGAGTAATAGTACGGAAATGTACATTTTATCTACCATTGATAATTATTGTCACTAACGTTCTGTTCCTCGTAAGTGTTACACGAATAGTTATGACGATTGGAAATCAATGTGAATGTTGAAAGATTGGCACATATCGGTGTGACTTTGCAATCATTCTATTCTGTCAATAACGAATATGTTGCCTATGAAACCTAGATCGTTCCAATCCTAGGACATGTATGCAAAGGTTTAATGTTACGATGTGACCACGTTAGAATGTAAATTGGTCTATCCTTATTAAATGTAATGGAATGACATATATGCCTCTGTTAATGGTACATCCGCCTTTGATCCTCATTAATGTTATGCATTGCTATTTATGAGACAACCATGTTACTAGTTAATACGAACATTCTGTTATCTATGAACTAGTGGCATGAATTCACGACAAACAAATGAGATGTGAGTGCATTATGAAGTCCAATCTGTTAATAGCTGCTATTAGCACTCTGTTGAACGTAACGTAACTATGTTAACTCATGTGAATAATGAGAAGGAACTATGTGCTTCTGTATGAACTATTAGGCCAGAGGCCATTCTGTATTTCTGATATGGAGCAAAGTGCTGTACGGAGCTAAGTGCTACACTTTGGTGGGAGCCACCTCTAGAATCCGTACGAGCCACCTCTTGAGTCCATACATATATGAAAATGTTCCACTTAGATTGAATTTCACACAAGAATAAAGCTTAAAAATCAACTTACGAACATAATCACAGTCATGTGGACATGAACTAGTCTTACTTCAATAACCCATAAACAAAGACTATTTACATACATAGCCATGTTCCATATCTTAGTTGTTCAAGTATATCAAGGAGAATAAAATATAATTCCCTTACAAGTTCAAAGCAACACATCAACAACATGAAGAAACACTTCTTCATTCTCTTGGGTGCCATACAACACATACAAACCTTAATTGTTTGAACATCAAGAAATTCTTTACCCTTAACAAGAGAGGAGTAATGCAAAGTAAATCACCCATACTTGAGCTTCAATTTCTTCCAAACCCTTTCTTAGTTTGCCCAAACTCACCTCCTTGTTGCTTTCCCATTTTCTTCTTTCTTCTCTTATTTTTCGTACCATCTCCAGGAGATAGCCACGAAATGATATCCCCAAATCAAGTGTTTGAACGACAAAACATAGATAGAGAAATGATTCCACTTAGATGAATTTCACACAAGAATAAACTTAAAAATCACTTACGAAACATAATCACAATCCATGTGGACATGAACTAGATCTTTACTTCATAACCCATAAACAAAACTTAATTTTACATACATAGCCATGTTTCATATCTTGTTGTTCAAGTATATCAAGGAGGAATAAAATATAATTTCCCTTACAAGGATTCAAAGCAACACATCACAACTTGAAGAAACACTTCTTCGATTCTTTGGGTGCCATACACACACATACACAACCTTAATTGTTTGAACATCCAAGAAATTCTTTACCCCTTAACAAGAGAGGAGTTAATGAAAGTAAATCACCCATACCTTGAGCTTCAATTTCTTCTTCCAAACCTTCTAATTTTGCCGGCCAACTCACCTCCTTGTTGCTTTCCATTTTTCTTCTTTCTTCTCTTATTTTCTTACCATCTCCAGGAGATAGCCACGAAATGAATCCCCAAATCAAGTGTTTGAAGACAAATACATAAGATATGATATAAAGGTGAATAGGACGAAATCCCAATCGTTTAATCATTCGAAATTGAAATTTCGTAAACATGCTTAATATTACTTAAAAATTTATGCTGATCACAGATATATAATCAATTTCAGATAATTAAGCCGTTAAGGCCTCCAATTTCTGATTCAAATGTGTTATAGTGACAGATAATGTTCTGTGAAACAGACAGACACCCTAAAACATGGAGTTCGTTTACGTAATCTTAATTTCTCGTCAGCTTTCACAGCAAGCATTTAAAAGCACAAACTAAGGACGAAACATATATCAGAAAACATGTGGCGAGGGTCGGGTTTTACATGTAGTGTCCATCAAGTAAGAATTAAAAACATCGAAAGTAAATGCCGATGCATTAGGACAGCCGTATACAAACTATTGGGTTTTATTTTAGCTGTCCCATTGTTCTCTCTCTCTCTCTCTCTCTTCACCTAATTTTTTTTTTTGTGAGGGGGAGGGGTGCGCAAAATTACAGTATATTTGGAATATCCAGTGGCTAATAATATTTATGCTTGGTTTGTAGTTTTTTCTTAGATGCTAAAAGGTTCAGTAATGACTTGGTAAAGATAATAAAGATGATGATTTGGAATATAAACCAAAGCCTACTGTTGTTTTGTGTTAGAAACAGATTCTTATCAAAATGTATCATATTGTGGGTATTATAGGGGTTTGGGCAGCTATATAATTATATGGTTTATTTGATTGCACACTATAATGAAGTTTGTTGTTGTACTGCTGTGCAGATACATGCTGATATTCTGTCCTTGAGTCACTGATTAGCTTTTTTTGAGATAACTAAGACCTCTAATTGTCTACTGATTAAGTAGCTGAGATAGCTCTGCTTGTGTTTAGTTACTGGTTGA